GGTATCATGAAACAGGGCACATCATCGTTGAGGATTCATCACCAGGGGGGTTGTATTCTGTCGCGCTGAGAGGGGGGGGGGGTGGTAATTGGTCTGAAAGAAAAATTTTTTTGATTGTTTATCTTTCTTGTTTGTGGGACGCTATAAAGGGAGGAGGCGTCGTATTTAGTCGCTGTTGGGTCATATTTGTCTTTGCTATGGTGAGAAAAACTTTTTTGCTTGTGGAGTTTTCGCGCTTATTGCTGTTTCACACGTGCTACATACCACCGCTCACAGCAAAATTTTTAGGGAAAGTAGGAAAATTTTTGGAAAACTTCGGGAAAACTGGTAAGAAGCCGTCGCGACTTTTTCCCTTTCAGTTGCACTATATACCACACCTCCTTCCCACCTCCCCCTTGACAGCTCGATGAGGAGGGAACTAGGGAGAGGGGTCGTATCAAGCCATTTTGGGGGGAAAGGGGGTCGAGCGGACGCGACCGAAAGCCCCAACCATTGATGTGCCCTGATTCTGAGTTCTGAAAATCGTTTTTCGAGTCTAGTTACCACGGTAAACTGAACGGAAATTGTGGTCCTCGCTAGGGCTCTTTTTTAGCGTTAAGATAGACCCATGGAAGGACCTGTGAATCTGCCCAAATGTGCACCTTTACCTACGCCTATTACCCTAGAATTCTGCCATCTCTGCTAGAAACCGATAAACCCCTGCCGTTGATCGATCCCTTTTGGGATGCCGCACGCATTCTGCTTCCATTCTAAATCGTAGTGACTTGAATGCTATGCGGCCTATGCAATGACTTGAGAGGACCAAAAAGGTCACCGTTCTCATCTTTCCAGACGAATTTGATATCGGTTGACTCTCCCTAGAGGGTAGGAAGTTTGGTTGGCTTGGGCGGGAGCAGATCCGGGATTTGATAGCGGAATGTGTGCGTAGTAAGCGTGCCATTTGTCACTACAGCGCCTCAGCCTCCCGTATGTACAAGTAAGCGTAATACCCCAGTTTGAGCGGCTATCTATCCTTTGGTAAGCTAAGCTTACGAATTCTCGACTGGTTATCTGACAACCTAGTTACTGTTTTCAAGCTTTGTAAAATATTCGCACTGATAACCTTGTGGACAGTTGGAGGAGTTCAGAGGACCTGCAAACCTCGGAACATTTTAGTGATAGTGGAATTTTCGTGCTTGGAATTGGTCATCTACTCAGGAGCTTCTGCACCCTTCGGGCTTGGGCAAAAGTCTGTCTCCGTCGCAGTAATCACAATTTTGCACAGGAAGTCCTTTAAACGTCTTCAAGGTTATGAGCGCCGACATTTACAAATAATTTCAGGCACTGAATGACTTCTTTCTTTCGCCACTATTATTTTGTTTTCTTATCAATGGTTGTTATTTCAGAGCGATATCCATTGTGATCGATGTGGTGCATGTAACTATCAGATGAAGTGTGACTGTACAGACATGAGCTGCACTAGAAGGTGTTGCGTTCACTGTCATGCAGTGGCGACATTCTCTAAAAAAGGTAGATTTCCTCTTGACGTTACTCAGCTTGGTGCTTGGGGAATGGCTGTTGACTCGAAAACGTTGAAAAGGAGCAGTAAAAAAACTGCAGAAGCACTATGTATAGAACCTCGTTTACCATCAAACGGACGTCGAGAATGACGTCGCCACTGTGATGCTGACCTTAAAGACACATGGTACGCTCAAACACATTGAGGGTGTATGAGACTATCAGCCCCCCAGCTGTCGATGTGTCGTGGTCCCCCGCCCAAAACTGCACGGGGTCAGAGTACGGGGCCGTGGGAAAGTCGTAATTCCTTGCTACGCCGCCCGTTTTTGCAAACTCACGTTTTTACTAACACCGTCCGCGCGGCGCGGTCGCGTGCAGCTCTCTTGGCTTTTTGCCAAGTCCTGTAATTGCGCTTTGGAATACAAGTACAACGCAATTTCTTTATGCGGATAACATTTTAGGTTCTGCAAAATAAGAACTGAAGATGATGACGAGGGCTAGAACTCAAGAGCAACTGTGCTGCTTCTGCAACAGCCCCTCACAGGCCGCGCATTCCAACAAAACATCAAAATAAAAACGGCCTAAGCGTCCCACTCGTTAGTTTGAAGTATTTCTATAGCATTAGAGCCGGATCGCAGAAATGCACACGCGATTTTAATTTATTGCGTTTCCTTAGTTTTTTCAATTTTGTTTTATTTACATCTACATTCGTTGTTGTTCATTTCTAGCCTTTGTCATCTTCATCACCTTCTATTCGGACTTTGAAGCATGAGCAATACCTCAAATGTTAGGAAATTGCGTTTTGCTTGTATTAGTCATGTTTTTCATTGTCAGCGCTAGTCCGTGTTTTATTGTTCGTTATCTGCGCCGCAAAAGGTGTAAGGCGGAGCATGGAGGAACTAGCGTGTTTCACGGCCCTGTATCTCCATTCCTGGGCATGTTTGGGCGGGGGACCACGACACATCGACAGCTGGGGGGCTGATAGTCTCATACACCCTCAATGTGTTTGAGCGTACCATGTGTCTTTAAGGAGGAGTGCTAAGGAGGGGTGCACTTCCCATCCCCAACCCTCTTTTCCATCTGTTCTTCTCGAAGGAGGTCTTTCATGCTGTGCACCCCATTACCGCCTTCTGAATGTGTATAGGTGCATGCGGAAAACACGAAGGTGCACTTCATTTTGGCTGCTCGCTTATGAGAAAGTTGAAAGGGTCGAAAGACTCTACGGGTCTACAGTCATAGAAGGCTATTCTATCTTGAAGGCAATAGATCGGGTGTTTTGGACACATATTTCTCCACGTAAAAGATTGCGACCTATATGAGCACAAGAAAATGATAGTCGCAGTAATGCCAGAGTTTGTCATCTAGGGGATCTGAACCATCAGCCTGTTGTACATACTTTCCTTAGCATTCCGAAGGCGCGCAGAGAAATTGAACTTTCTTGGTCCCCGCCTGAATCTCTACACTCAAAAAATCCCTGAGATGCAGTAGGTGTGGCTGCACATCTGAATTAGTCGTGGTGGCGGCTGAGATTTCCCTGAGATGTTTCCATTTTGGGGCAATTGTAATCATGCCTTTATCCAACACTGAACAAGATGATAGTGTCTCAGATCGAAATCTCCTACTAGTGACCCATCCTCTGCCGTGCTCAAATGCCACACCTACTCTGTTAAGGATAAGGTGTTTACATTATGCAACAAACGGTTGAGAAAATGAGCTCCACGCTCTGGAGGTCCCCCCCCCCTTGTTAGTTACGTTTTGAGATCGTAAGACCGAGAGCTGGGCGCGCCATTCATCGAAAAGCAAGAAAGCCAGAAACTGCACTCTTCTTCCTTCACTCCACAAGTTTTTGCTGAACTGAAGGCTGCATTGCACATCGCAGGGTGCATCAATGCCTCTATTTTGAGGGCTGCAAAGGTACTGTAAGGCGTATCAGAAAATGGCTTTTCTATCTTTATCTGACTATCGGAGTATTGATCTTTCTTGCGGAAAACTGAGTTCCAAAAAACTCGATTTCTCTATACCAAGAGAGTTCATTTAGAAGCTTCAGTGTTCCTATAACACCTAGCTCGAGCGAATAAGAAAAATAAATTAACAGAGGCTTGGGATGTTCATCGTTCTCGCTTCGGTATAATTCATGCCTTTGCAATCTCTTGAGAATCACAGTGACGTGCGTGTTTGAAGAGAAAAATGGCTTAACTGATCTCACCGGTGTAGTATGAGCTTCCGCTGGTCTTCTCAGCATAGAAAGGTGGCCTATGGTTGCGTCATTATTTGATTTGTATAACCTTAGCGTCAAATTGACTCCATTTTTCTTATTACTGCCTTCGAAGAGGCGGAGGTGGTGTAGTGACAAGTGGCGCGCTTACCACTCGCGCGGCGCCGGGTTCGAATCCCGGGTCGACACCCGCCCAGGCCAAGCCTTCTACCCTCCGGGGACGGTAAATTGGTACCAGATTCGTCTGGGAGGATAAAACACTGACTTGTACATCGGCTGGCCACCGCAAGTCATTGTATAGGCCACATCGCATTCAATAAGCCACTACGATTCTGAATGGAAGTAGAATGCGTGCCGCATCCCACAAAGGGATTGATCAACGGCGAAGACTTTATCCTTTTTTCTACTGCCTTCGAAATGCCTACAAATAACGGCGACAAGAGGTGTATTCGCACAACATCGATAAAGTGCGCTGAAGGGCGAAAAATTTTAGGCAGCGTTCAGACTTCGCGTCAACGCGCTGTAACGCGCGACGACTCGCTACAACTGCAATAACGCTGCAAACCTACAGAGGCGAACGCGGCCGCAAACGGGCAGCGCTGAACGATACCAGTCTTCGTGACTAGGCAACATCTGCCATCCTGTACCCCCATACATTATCGGAGAACAAGCGGCCGCGTCCATAGACGGGAATTGGTCGACGCAGGCCGTCTGCAGCTGCGCTCGCGTCCATAGCTTTAGAGCGCTATTGCGGCGCAGTTTGCCGACGGAGGGGGGGGGGGGCATTTTGCACTTTCGTTGCTTCACTAGTTCTGGTTTACAAGTCTCACTCTGGTGAAACCTGTGAACTCTTGTGAAGCTGGAGCAAGCTCGTCAAGCCATCATGGTAAAACCTGTCAACTCGAGAAGAGGCTGTCTAGATGGGTCGACACGTCGATGGGAAGTCGTTAAAGTGCAAAATGCCCCCCCCCCCGTCGACAAACAGCGCCCGCTATTGCAATTGTGTAGCGCGTCATCGCGCTAATTTCTCTTTATCATTCATCAATGTGCAATTAAGCTCGTGCACTCATCCCTGTCGTCAAACATTATCTCGCAACTAGTGGTTCTACAACACCACAATTATCGCGAAGTCAACATGCGTCTGAAGGACCCAACAAGGCAAGCTCCTCATATCGAGAAACGTACGAAGACGAGGATTCTGTCCAGGAGAGCTGGAATATGTCGTCTGTAAACGGATGCCAAAGTGAACCATCATATTCTGATCGAACAGAAACACCTTCACGCAGTGTCACAAATATCAAGGAAGAGGCAGAGAAGGAGTACGAGCAGCTTCGAAGAGTGGGTTGAATGGAAGTCCTGGAACATTTTTTTTGTGACGTTGTCTCATTTAGATTGAAGAGCGACTGAACCAGTTAGCAAAGACATGTGTGCAAAGCAATCTGCCTCATGTTATTCGAGAAATACGAGCAACTATCGAAAGTAAGCTGGCTGAGATCCTCCCAGAAGCGGGTACATCTGACGCGGTGCCGACAAGGAACCGTTTACGAACCAGACAAGAAGCATTGCTGGAACTTGGTCAATCTGTAGGTTCTTTATTATGGTACTTTTGCAACTTTTACTCATCTTGTTTCATGGGTTTTTGATTACTCCGTAGCTATTCACGGTTCGCTCTAATCACCGGTGGATCCTGTTCGAATATTGACTCCAAATTTTCTGATGGCGGGAAGGAGGGGCTGGGGTAAGCGTAACCCAGAGAAATGATTATTGAGGCGGATTAGTCTTGAGTTTATCTAGACCTGCTGTTAAGTTGTACATTGGAGATGTGTTTAATGGAGTATTCCACACCTGTTCACCATACTCTATGGAGAGTCAGACAAATGTTTGAGCTGTATGATCTGGATTTTCTTACTGCTTAATAGACCACGAACATTTTATTTGCAATCTCTATCCTACAGTAATTTAGCCGGGTCCTAGTGCAGCTCGACCAGTTCACAAGAGAATTAGCACTCCAGCTCAACAGGCTCGATCGTCTTCCACCTCTCCATCACATACAGATCCCAGTCGTGAACCAGTAGATGCCGTGAGTTTTCTCAACCCTTCTCCCATACGGGAAAAACAGGGTTGAAGAAGACGCTCTCCGTGTTATATATGGAGAGACATTTTCTTCCGATGAAAGAAATGACCTTATTTTCAGAAGAAGAAGAGTAGTGAAGCAACACCGAAATATCAAGTTGAAGAGCATGTGCTAAGTCGCATTGCTGGATTTGCTGCTGCAGTGGAAGCATCTCGAAGGAAGCGAGTGCTTTTACCAACCTCTGTAAGTAGAATTTCCCTTTTTGAAATCGATAGAACTCGCTTTCGTGGGGGACTCAGGTTTCTCGTTCACTTCACAAATGAGTAGCATCCCCTATCAGTACTTCTTCACATTTCATATTGATAAACAACTACGTTTACAGCTGGCTCGTGAGGATGATGTGACGGATCGCGACTATCTTGCTAGCAAGACAGACGGAGAAATTCAGCGCAGAGAAGACGAAGCTTCCACTTCGATGAGTAGGAGTTCGGCTGTAAGTCTACATAATTCATGGGTTTGATCAGTGATGCACATTTCTTGCTTCATTTGCTTTTTTCCTCTTGACTTCTACACCTAACTGTCCGGAAGGGTTGAATTCAGCGAGTTCAAGGCCACAAGTGCCTGCTTGAGTGCCTCGAATGTGCTCTTCTAAATGTTCGTCGTTTTTTTCTTGGGAAAAGATGGTGAGTGTAGAAGGGGTGGGAGAGAGCTGAACACGAAATCATTCGTAATGGCCTGCCCAGCATCTGCACTAGAAAATTAACGTTAGGAAGTCATTCCATCAGTATTCGAAAATTCATCCCCTAAATGGTTTTTCAATCAGAATACAAAGCCGTTCAGGAAATCCCATCGAAGGGGGTCGTACATCGTCGTTGTGGGCGGTGGTCGTTTTTGGTCGATGCACGGCGGCAATTTTTTGGAAAAAGACTGAAATTTTTCTGGAAAACTGGGAAAAGTTGGTAGGAAGTTGGGAAAGACTTGACCCTTGACCCGGAAGGGGGGGAAGGGCTCGTACCAAAGCAGGAAATTTTTCGGAGTTTTGCGAAACCACCTCCTCTCCCGAATTTTCTCCCTCCGGCATCACCCGTACGTATTAATGAATTCTCCTAAAATTTTGCCATCGGGTTTGAGGTGGGAGGGGGAAGGGGGTGTGGACACCTCCAATTGACAATGAGGAACTGTAATTTTGCGTTGCTACCGGTGGAAAAAAGGGAAAGGAAGGCACGGTGTAGAAAGCGCGTTTAAAACAAAAAGAACAACATGAGGAATTAGTTTCCCAGGTCGGATACCTCCTTCTTCATTTCCTTTGGTTACCCTGTAATAAATTAGTGAGAACGGCTTCGAAAATGCTCTACTGGCTATATTTTCTATCACAGTTCTAGTATAACCTTAACGTGTCCTTTCCAGTTGCAGTCAAACTGTGAAGTGGTCCAGAAGCAGCCGCCCGTAACCGAATCATCTGCTTCTGATCAGGAAAAAAGGGAGCGTCGACGGGTTCTCAAGCGCATTTATGTAAGAAAAGGGCCACAGTGGGTACTAAAAAAAGTGGTTGTAGAGCCGACCGTTCCAGTAAGTTGTCCATACTTCACGATTTTGAGCGCATTTGGTTAGTTAGGTAAGAATTTCTTCAGAATAGTTCTACCGAGGACGAACACACTTCATCTTCTCACCATAGTCGGGAAACCCATAAAGACCATGAGACCGAAGGAATCGTATCAAACAAAGAACCAAGGAATGTAAAGCATGTAATAGTCAAAGCTAGTTCTGTTGTGAGTAATTATTTCCTTTTTCAAGGTAAAACATTGTCAGATGAAATTTCAAGCGCAATCGTACATCCTTTCCTCTTATATGCGCTGACTTGCGTCTATACGCTCAATGGGTGGTTGTAGATCTCTGACCACAACCCTAGGTGACAGGAGTCGTCTCGGACGAGACGCATATGGCCTTTTTCGCTCTGGATGCCGGGGCGTTTCAGAGAGGCTGGGTTTGGCGCGATGTCATGCAGTTCTTCTCCATGTGTTGAAGCGGGGTAAGCGACTGCATTGATGGAGAGCGGGTCGGCGCCTCGCCAAATCCAGTTCACTGGCAAGCCCCAGCATCCGCACTGAGCAAGACGTCAAAGTCATCATTATCCGGAGAGAAATGTGGCTAAAATTAGCGTAAGTGCCCCGTGCATGCCCTTCAGTGCAGTTTCTCAAGTATCGCCGATCTTGGGCTATGTAAGTTTGCCTTTACTTCCCTTGAAATCATAGACACCGTTTGGAATAATCCGGTGTGTAGGATCTGACGTCACTGGCGCCCTCCTGTCCTATTCCTACCCTCTGATCCATCTCAGAAAAGCGCGAAGAGAAGCGCAGAAGGATTAGTTGGAATCCACCAAGGTTCAATCCCTGAACCACGCACGCGATAAGCGTGTCGCTTGCCACTGCCCCACCTCTGCCTCGCCAATGCGGAAATGATCATTTTAATACAAAATTTAGATTACTTGATTTTATATGACAACTACTGGCCCTTGCCTTAACAATGTTTACAGCCTCGCCTCAACTCCGTTGTGGAGGCATCGAGTTCGAGGACCCAGGTGGATCAAGGCCGGAATGAGATCAAAGGCGTTCCCGAAAACAGTTCTATGGAACCACAAAAGATCATCGAGCGTGTCATGGTCTCTGGTGAACGATCAGTAAGTAGATAGTTAGCCTAACCTACTCCTTGGACGTAGCCTAAAAAGACCGAAACTGTGCTGAGCACTTTCCCTATCTTACCAGTCTTTTTTAGTAAGGATGCGATTGTCTTTTTTTAGAGTCACCTGACCGGCGTAACAAAACGACGCCTCGTGAGGATGCTTCCAATGCAGCGAAGCAGTAAAATCGCGCGGATCTCTGAACATATTCGTAAAGGGGTCAACTCAACAGCCATTACCAAACCAACCGAAAGCCGAACACGAAATGAACCACTGTGCTTGATGTGTGGGAAACCTGAGCCACCTTCCCACACCGGAGATGAAATAACATGGCTTTGCTGCTCCAACAGGTCAAAATGTCGAGCACGAGCACATGAACAGTGTCTTCGTGAAGCGCGACTGAAGTGTTTTGTATGCCATGTTGGATCGTGGACGTTTACAAAAGAATGTGATGGAGCTGTGCAAAATTTGGTGGGTAAGCAGAATGAAGAACGGGCGTCTGCTCTTACAGAAGTGAACTCATAAGGCTGGCGTATTTGACCAAAATTGGAAACATTGTATTACTCATGTCCTATATGCCGTTTATTGTTTCCTCAGCATTCCAGTTTGGTCGGTAAAGTAGTAGGAGAGGCCACGGTGACGACTTCAGGATTATAGCGACTCTGGTCTTCGCGCTCTTCTAAACCTGAACACCTGGGGTCCACGTGACAATTTGAACATTCTGCATGGTCCTGCTGCAAAACCCTGTAACGCGGACAGAGAGAGACAGCCGCCATCAAAGCATCTGAAGCTGCAAAAGGAAATGTGACGAACGAGGTGGCGCGCTTCCTGAAGAGAAGGGGCTATGGCCTGGGTGAGCCACTTATGAAGCACGAAAAGCCGGATTGCACAAGGTCAGAGTAACCATGGAGCGCCATGTAGACGAGGGCGTGCAGAGAAAAGAGGAAACTGCTGTGGTGAAATGGATTAGGTTCAGGTTGTTCGTATACCCTTCCTGGTAGAGTGAAGGAGTTGCGACCCTCTCGAGAGGAAGAGCGTAGACGGCAAGGGTCGCCGTAGTGAAGCGTGGCCCCTCCAACCAGTTTAGTGCCTAATTTGTTCTTTACATTCGTAGATGTCATTCTTAGTATTGTCCTTAGAATGCATCAGAGTACATCCTTACGTCGAAGATGAGTGTGCAACAACAATTGTAGTTCCAATGTAAACCCAGCTACATTGCATTTCAGTTTCCCAAAATGTGTTGACTCCGCTGGACCAGTGACACAAATTTATGAATTTTCTTTGTTAAGCACTATAAAAATTCAGATATGTTTGCGATAGTGCAGGAGCATAAAATGTTACTTCACAGTGAGTAAACCTCCAGTTCGAAGCAAAAGAAACTGTTTTGGAAACGGCAGATAGTGTGCTTCATTTCTGCAAAGGGAGCAATGTTGGTGCCCTCTGGAGTTTAATGCGAACTCGGCAGAAGGTGGTTTATAAGTCCCCACCTGCATGCTTGTCTCATATCAAAAGGTCGGCACGGTTGTGCCTCGAGCGCCCGCTGGTGGCGACCGTGTAGTTTAATCGAATCATCACATCGAATGTCTCTACTATGGGGGGGGGGGTCGATGGGTATTCACTACTGCGATAAAACCATACTTCGGGTCGAGAGGTATAAAGCCCTCACTACGTCTTCATGACGCTCGACCATAATGGTTGTCGTTGGTCAATTAATGAGAGACCAAGAGGTCCATACTAGAGGACAAGTACCTACAAGTGCATGTTACACTCAGGAGCAATTCTTTTTCGACCCTCCATTCCAACTCCCTCAAGCCTCCCTCCAACATTTAAGCGTGCCACACAGCTGGGTCCGAGTCGCATATGAGATTCCACTAACAGTCCATGTACCCTCAAACGAATTTGCCTTCACGCATGCTCAGCGTTTCAAGATTACGGCTCGAAAATGATGCAAAAGAACACTAAAGCTTCGGCACCACGCTCGGAATAACTGTTCACTTTCTGCTACGGCTAAGATCGTCTTGGGCTGTGCCTGGTATCCGTGTACTTTGAGGAATGTTCTTCGGATATCATTGGTTTTTTTTCTTTTGTTTCGCCATGAGACCTGCTTCTTCGTTGTCACTTGGTTTGTCATGAGTAGGGTTCATCCAGTTATCTTTGTCTAAACACTACCTTCGTCAAGACTATGCCTTCTATGAAACTTCGGCTCTGGTTTAGGCTCAAGGTCTAGTAGATCTGTCTTGTCGCTTCTGACCACTGTGTCGGTTCCACGTGGGAAGCTGGTATACCCGTGTTTCGAAGTGCCGGCACACCCCTATGACCCCACATGTGGCGCTAAGGGCACTGCGGCCAGCCGGTGCGGACAGTTGCTTCATCACCGGTTGCTAGTACCTTGTGAGGAAAGCCTTCATGATCACTGCGATTCCGCACCTCTTTCTCTGCGGTTTGGGGCCACCTGGTCGAATTGTGACTTTCCCCTGTCGTCTATTTGTTTCTGGGACTCCTCCTCCTGACAAACTGAGTGCTGCTCACTGTCTCAGTTGAATAGTAGTTGTTTTGTTTTTATAGTTCTTTTTTTTTTTCTTAGTTGTTTGCTTTAGGTATTTGTTATCTACATTGCCACATTGTTTAATTTGGGCGCGTTCTATGTACGCATAAGTAAGTAAATAAATAAGTAAATAAATGCCTTACCCACGTTAAAGCACAGCAGATGCAACCTTCATCCTTCTTATACCTCTTCGCCTCCTTGAACAGCGGTTTGGTCCAGCATTTGAGCATGCGTGCGTCCTCATACGCATTTCCGAAAAGCTATTTGGCTCGGTTTCCTTGGCGGAGATCTACACAGCAACATGTATTTGCATGCTTTAGGGTAAGTCAGCGGGTTCCAGCAGACCATGTTCACCTTTCTGTTTGGTATGAGAACAACTCTTCCCCTCAGAAGCAGGTTGGTATTGGACTTCTCGCTTACCGCATGGCGCAAATGCACTAGCTCTCAGCTGCAACAGAGCGTCGTGTAAGCGTTTCCACCAAAAGCCCTGTATATCATCACGTCCTGTCGCCTTCAAGGTTTGACCTCAGAAACCAGAGTTCATCATCATTTGCGCCAGCTCAGAACATCAATGCAGAGTTTTCCAGGTTTTTTCGACCAGCTACTGGACCCAAGAGAGTTCGAACTTTGAGAAAATCCCAGCTTTTCCTACCATTCTTCAAGCTCGCAGCTTACATCAAATGGCTGCTTTTCCCGACAATGCAGCCAGTATTCTCGTACATTACATTGGCACACATCCATTTTGCCGGACGCTCGGAGCGCTCGTGACCACATAGCGAAGCACCTTTACGACACAGAAGCTTTCGTCGCCATGTTTCCTAACTTCCTGTTGTCTTTTGTGTCACATTGAGCTGGTCTTTGAGATGCCTCGAAACACGCCCCAATCTCCGCGACGGCCGATTTGGTATCTCAGCAGCACCTTAGAGAAACTTTGGCTGCGTCTTCACATGACCCCTTCCTTTCGTTAGCCTTGCGCCTGAGGACCCCATGACTGTTGAAATAACACTAAGCTGCGATTTTCCCTGGTCCGCCAGTTCCTTGAGGCAGCGTTTGTAACCATCAAGCGTTGCACGTTCTCGCCCCACCTGGTCTGCCGTGCATCTCGATCCCAACATTAAAGCTGGCAAGCATCGACGTCCGTTGGAGAATGGCAGATTTTCGATTTTGCGAACAAGTACGGTGTTGCCAGTCTCTGAGAGAATACGAGGAATTTTGCTCTCACGCCTCTGGACAGGGACGCTTGCCACCAAATTGATGATATACTTAGACTATTAGTTGGACCTTCAGCGAAGTATTTCTTCAAGTTTCGCTACGCAGGTCTCACAATTTTGGCTTCCGGAGCATTTCGGCAGCCAACATCGCCGCATAAAGCCCTTCTAAGCGGTAAGGTTTCACCCGATCCATAAAAGTTCCTCTATTGGGCCTGTTCTAGAGGCACTCCGGCTTTCTCTCCCCCACGATCCCTGAAATGCTAAGGGTACCGTGCCTCCAAGGAAAAACCAGATCTCTGCTCATTTCCAGGGCTTCTTGTGAGTTTCCAAGCTTGCGCAAGGAACGCTCAGCCCGTCTATCTCTCGTCTATTGCAGTGAGTTTAGCGCGGTAGCTTCTCTAGTTCGAGAGCGGACCAGAGGATTCTCCTCCCTTTTGCCTGTGGAACGCTAGATCCGTTGTCAGGATCTCTTGGGTCAGAGATTGGAGCCGATAAGTTATTGACTTGGCGCATAATCGAGCCAGCGCCCAATGTGGTTACTTTATTCTCTGAGCACCCACTAGTCTTGAGCTCTTGCATCAAGGTAGCCCGATCACCTGTCGAGAACCGACGTAGCGGATGAACAGTTCCCAGGGGCACGGCGTGGACGTTTGAAGCTCTGCCCCATGTGAGTCAGGTTTTTATGTTCGCTCTCAACAACCTCTGACTGTTCCAAGCACAGCACATTGCATCTTCTCTATTATTGTCTTGGTTCCGCCAGGCAGATGAAGCAATCCAAAACACTGTCGTACACTGGGAGCACTCACCACAACCCCGAATCGCGATAGGTCTAGTATTAGGTTGTGCGGAAAGAACGATTCCTTATAGGCCTCCACTTATAAAAGGCAGCCTGGAGCACTTTATGGTCGCAATCAACCATGGATCCGATCCTTCATTTAGTTTGTTATGCCATTAGGCATCCCAGTGCATGGATAGAAAGCGAACATAAAGATAGCCGCTTGTACTGCAGCATATTCGTTTTCGGCACGCCTTTATATCATCAATGTACATGTGGCATTCAATGATTCAATTAATGATGACTGTTCCAAGCACAGCACATTGCATCTTCTCTATTATTGTCTTGGTTCCACCAGGCAGATGAAGCAATCCAAAACACTGTCGTACACTGGGAGCACTCACCACAACCCCGAATCGCGATAGATCTAGTATTAGGTTGTCCGGAAAGTTCTCAGCGTTTTGGGTGTTTCACTTTAAACGATCGTAACTTTTTTAATACTCATCGGATTTAATCGAAATAGGCACCATTCGAATCAGCACACTTTTGCCAATGTGACAGCAGTCGAGAAATCCCATCAAAGTAAAAAACTGGGTGGTCGAAAATTCACGAAATCCACTAAGGCTTTTTGCCTGGTCCTGATTGATGAAGTAT